GGTGTCGCCGCGCTCCGTCTGCATGGCTGCAGCGAGCTTCCGTATCCTGAACTCGCGCTCGGCGACTGCGCGCTCCTTGAAGCGTTGCAAGTCTGAAGAGGCACCGTTCGATTGCTTTTCAGCGTCCTGCGCGCCGTTCTGGCTCTCTTGTAGCGCCTTCTTGTGTTTCTTGCCGGACAAATGTGCTTCGTAAACAGTCTCTTTCGAGAAGCCTTTCTTGCAGGCTGAGCACCAGATGCCCTCTCCCTGCGCTTCACCGTTTACTGGTGCAGACGCCGTGGACTTCTTCTCCCAGCCTGGAACTGCGTCTTTCTCCCATGCCTCCTCGAACTCCTTGTCGAAGCTAGTGAAGAGCTTATCCAGGTTCTCTAGCGGCTTTGTCCGTCGCATGAAGCTCTCGAGGTAATCTTGTAGAGCTTTCAGGTAATGAAAGTAGGCCTCTGATTTCTTCTGATCGCGCCGGATGTTGCATTGCGGAGGGGTGAAGATATCGAACTTGTCGAGGTACTCCAGATAGGTCAGACGGCGCGCGTTTTGCTGAACGGGAAGGTTGAGGTACTGCTCGTGCAGAGTCGTCAGGTCAAAGAAGCGACCAAAACCCTCCTCGCCGGTGAACATAGAGTCGATGGCTGCGATCGATGCCGTGTGGTCTTCGGGCGAGCGTTTCTTGTAGGCCTTCTCCAGGTTCTCGACAGGCTCGTTCGGGTATCGGCTGTGGAAGTCCTTGATGGATGCGATCTCCTTCATGAAGGACTCCATGGGGTCGCCATGGGTGAGACCGCGCACCTCGTCCTCCTTCTTGCTGTCCTCATCCTGGTAGATCTTCAGTAGGCGGCTCGACTGGCTCTCGATCTGCTCCAGGAATCGCGCAATGTCGTGGTCACGTGCGAGGCGATCGCGAATCTGATGAGATGTTAGCATGCAGTTCGCGACAGACGCGAGGGTAATGCCTACATGCGGGGGGTCTTCTAGGAGTCGCTCGGCAGCGGCGTCCTCGAGGCGCTCGAGGTCCTCGTGGAGTTGGCGCTGATCTTCCAAAAGCATGCTTGCGGTCGCCTAGAGTAACTATGAGTCTTGGTATAGCAGCGGTTCGGTAGTGGATGTGCAGACCTTTGCGGCGGTGACGATGTCGAGCTGGTGGTGGAGCCTGTCGCGGCGACATAAATCGCAGAACGCGCTAGTCAACGGGGCTAGCGCGCCGAGGCTCCGGCCCTCCGCAAAGCTGAGGCGCAACTGCTCCAAACTTTGTAGCACATCGCGAACGACTCGAAAACTACCAATCACCCATACCAACCCCGGCTTCACATTCAAGATGGCGGACGGAATCGACCGAAATGCGGACGACAAGATCGAGTTCTCCACCTCGAAGGAGGTCACGGTCGCGCCTACCTTCGAGGCCATGCACCTGAAGGAGAACTTGCTACGCGGTATCTACGCCTACGGATACGAGTCGCCCTCAGCTGTGCAGTCGCGTGCCATCGTCCAAATCTGCAAGGGTCGCGACACCATCGCTCAGGCGCAGTCCGGAACAGGAAAGACCGCGACTTTCTCAATCTCCATCCTCCAGGTCATCGACACGGCTGTGCGCGAGACACAGGGTACGTCACATCTGATTGGAGAGATAGGACTTTGCTGATCAGACATAGCACTCGTACTCTCACCCACTCGCGAACTTGCGACCCAGATCCAGCAGGTTATCATGGGTCTCGGCGATTACATGAACGTGCAGTGCCATCCTTGCGTCGGAGGAACAAACGTCGGTGAGGATATCCGCAAGCTCGACTATGGTCAGCACGTTGTCTCTGGAACCCCAGGACGTGTAGCCGACATGATTCGCCGCCGCAATCTCCGCACACGCAACATCAAGATGCTCGTTCTCGATGAAGCCGACGAGCTCCTCAACCGAGGTTTCCGCGAGCAAATCTACGATGTCTACCGCTACCTCCCACCTGCCACCCAAGTTGTTGTCGTTTCGGCCACCCTCCCATACGATGTGCTCGAGATGACGACTAAATTCATGACGGACCCCGTGCGCATTCTGGTTAAGCGCGACGAATTGACGCTAGAGGGCCTCAAGCAATACTTCATCGCTATCGAGAAGGAGGAGTGGAAATTCGACACCCTGTGCGATCTCTACGACACACTTACCATCACACAAGCAGTTATCTTCTGCAACACGCGCCGCAAGGTTGACTGGTTGACGGACAAGATGCGCGACGCCAACTTCACTGTATCCTCTATGCACGGAGAGATGCCGCAGAAGGAGCGAGACAGCATTATGGCCGACTTCCGTCAGGCCAACTCTCGCGTGCTCATCTCGACCGATGTGTGGGCGCGTGGCATTGACGTGCAACAAGTGTCGCTCGTCATCAACTACGATCTGCCATCGAACCGTGAGAACTACATCCACAGGATTGGTCGAAGTGGACGATTCGGACGCAAGGGTGTAGCCATCAACTTTGTCACTCAAGATGACGTCCGCATCCTCCGTGACATTGAGTGTAAGCACCATCCAGCTTTTTCTTCAGACATCCGCTAATCCTCATAGTGTACTACTCTACCCAGATCGACGAAATGCCCATGAACGTTGCCGACCTCCTCGCGTAGAACTTCGAGCGAAATGTAGACGCATAGCATGCGATTCAACACGGGGCACAACGGGTATTCACACTCACCGTACTGAGGCCACAGACTCTCACTCAAGGGACACGCCCGCTTCGGCGGCGAATTGGAAGTGGAGGAAGGGGCTCTTTAGCCGAACAGTAAGCCTACCTCTGTCGCAAGGCCTCTGTCACCTGGCTAACTTTGCGACTCTGACCAGATCGAAATTGTAATCCATACCCATAACGTACTCACAATGTATAAGACCGATGACCAGCCGATAAATTTTGGTGGCGGTACCTCCAAGATCAGATCTGGTTCCGACCATCGCTATCGTGATACAATGATTGGCAGTTTCCAACATATTCATGACACACGGTTCCGATTACATATTCCTTAGAATCCAACAAATCTTCTTCTGCCGCGTCACGACATATCCGCAATTCTACGAAGAAGGAAATCTGGTGAGTTCAACGCCCTTGGCAGCTGGGCCCGCAATCTCAACATAAGATCTTGCTATCCTAACGGAAGTAATTGGAGATGGCCTCACTCTGTTTTTGGGACACCCCATGGGTCGAGTGGTTTGTTTACGCTATAGCGTTCTCCGCACATCCTCGTGCATATTATGATCATCAATACGTCTTCTCTTTCTCTTGTGGCAGACTCAACCACCTGGCTAGTGCGACGATACACCCCCTAAGGTAACAATGAATTCGAATAAGGTGGCAGCGCCGTCCCCCTCTATGCAATGTGTTGATTCCCCACCGTTGATACGATACCACGCGGGCTAGCCTTTCCAGCTGCAGTGTCTCAATGCTTTTGCTCAAAGTACAGTGGGGAAGCGGTCAGCTTGTTGGCACAGTGACATTATGCCGCGTATGTTTACCGATAACGTAAGCAATATCATCTGCCACCGAACGCATCGGAGCGAAATATGCAGAGTGGTAGAGACCCTGGGGGCGAATTCGAAGGTGAAGTGTGGCTCAGGGTCCGATTGCGCGAACATGATTCTTCCAAATTACCCATGCAGAATTGTTGAGAGGGCAATGTAGCGGAGAAAATTGAGACCGGCGAAAACTATCATCGATCATTTTTGAGTTGGTATATCAGGTCGGAGACAATACTTTAATGTGTACCATGCGAGTACGCGATCATGCTCGATAGAGCATCACGACCTACCATCCACACGTATAGCACTGATGTCCATTTGTCATGTCTATCTCATCTCCGTCATCGGCTTCCCCTCAGTCGCATCACAGTGCCATGGAACGGAGAGTACCAGCTTCAGGTGCTTCACTGGGGTTGGACCCTGCCTCATCACCCTCTCCGCTTCTCCGAAGCCGGAACCAAACATTGCCGCATTTTGAAGAGTCTCCGATGCCTACGATCTTTCTCATTTGAGGGGTACCTTTTCGTATGGGATGGTTGAGTGTTGGGGAAATTGTGAGGGGCTACATTGCGTCACATCGTCGTACCAGTGGATGGAGTGGATGGCAACCAAAATATCAAACCACACACGAACACACAAACACACTTGAGATTAGTCCCGAAGAATGAGGAAATGCAGGGTGAGAGTATAAACACGGCATATCCCCTCTTAGAGTCACTCATCCGCAAAAACTTCGACAGCAATCTACCATCTTCGACTTCGATAAAAAAAACTCAAAGTACGATCTCTGCTCTTCTTACATCCTCTTCATCACTTCAAGCAAAAACAACTAACACATCCCCAGTCACTACCAACAAAACGTACTACCTCCCCTTTCTCCCACTCCATCACACCACCTAACACTCCCCTCTCAGCAACCCAACCCGACCATAACAATGCAATTGTCCACTATCCTCGGCGCCACCATGGCCCTCTTCGCAGGCGTTACCTTCGGCACCATGGAAACCACCATGTTTATCGAGCCTAAGGTAACCCATCGCATCGATACCGTCACCGTTACCGCTCGTGCCGTTACCGTCACCGCTGCTCCCTACGCCGCATAGACAGGTCTACCTCCTGGTACCTGTCCGTAGCATCTTGGTTGCAATAAGATGATTGGGGTTACGATAGGAAAAGGCCGGTCAGAGGTCCTACGGCGAGTTTTTCTTGTGGGTCGATGTGTCTGGCTGGCTGAGATGAGGACGCTGGAAGGGTCCGGGAAAAGGGGATGGGGGATGTGATTCAATGCCATGTCTTACTGTCTAATCTTTGTTGTTTTGCTTGCTGTGTGATCTGTGATGTCAACTGGTGACTATGGAAACATGATGCTAACATGAGATGCGCCTTCAGACTTCAAAATGCTTGGTGTAATGATGCGAGTAAGTGGTTTGAGAACGAGGTAAAATTGGTTCACATATTATCATTATGTTATAGACACAGCTAGCCGACCTCCATCCCACACACATATTCCTCAAGCCGTCGTATCGTCACCAAAAGCTAGTTGCATCCTCCTTGCGTGTGCAGCTCTTCGCTTAGCCTGCGCTGACATGGGCTTCTTCGGAGCATCTCCGTTCTGACTTTCGTTGGAAGGCGCTGGGAGACTCTCTACCTGTACTGGAACAGACGGAACGGGAGGAGGTATCTCTACCTGAACTGAGACTGATGAGGTAGTGGGTGGTACCTCCACGCGCAACTCTTGTTTCGGTGTGGGAATCGGTTGCTCGTGCAATACGGGTGGTGAAAGTATGGCTTGTTGCGTATCGGTTATCGGTTGCGCCGCTTCTGTAGTGGAAGCCTGTCGCACCAAGTCTTCCGCCATCGTCTTGACGATTTTGTGGCTGCGAAGTCGCTGCTGAAGGACTGAGAGCACGACGTCGTCACCGTCTAGTTCCACCGGCATCTCTGTTGGGCTGGCAAGGCGTTGCTGAAGAACGGAGAGCACGACGTCGTCATCATCTAGCTCCTCTGGCGTCTCCGTTGGGCTGGCAAGTATGGGCTGCGAGATTTCTGGGGTGATGATCTGGGGCGGCGGTGGCGGAGGATAAGACGGAGCAGTTACCGGAAGGGTAGTCGCCTCCTCCTCCGTACCGGGTGTTGTTGTAGTTTCAGCGACGGTGGTGATTGTGGGTGACGGTGTTGCGTTGAAAGATCTGCTACTTGACGTTTGAGACAGCCTTTTTGACATGCGCTGTGACGGCCGCTGGCTACTTGGACGACGAACTGGCTCGTCGTCGGTGAAAGTGGTAACGTTGACAAGAGCACTGGGCGATCGCAGAGTGTGTATAGATGTTGCATAGTGAGACATAGGCGACGATGTACGCTCCACAGAGGCAAAGCTATTTCGTCGCAGGCTCGAGTCGCCCTCATACATCGACGGCGCATCCGTATCCCCCTTTTCATGTTGTGGTGGTTGCGGCAGGCCTTCGCTAGTTGTAGGAAGCTGGCGGGGCGATGGCTGAGCTGCAGTAGTCTTGGTTGCGATGTTTGGTAGACCGTCTGTCATCGCATTCGTGATAGGTGTAGTCTCCGGCACTACAGGTAACGTATGACCTGTTGTTGGGGTCGACGTCACCGAGATCGATGGAATAGAAATTGTTGGACTGTTTGGCCATTCTCTACTCGGCAGCCTCTCACTCGCCGCACTAGGCATTACATAGTCAGCCAAATCATCGATAAGTGACGGCTGACTCTTGAGATGAGGAAGCTCCGATGGCAAAGACCTGTGCTTTTCACTGTGCCTTTGGATGTCTATCGATGTTGCTCGATACCGTCTCGCTACCATGGGGACGCTGACCGTAGCTTGTGTGGACAGAGTGGAGTCGGTGCGCTCGATTGTTGCATCCCCATGATTCGAGGAGGAAGGAACGACATCGATGGAGGCGCGAGGTCTTGGTTCCCGAAGGACGGATTGTCGGGAGTAGTCTGAGCGTGCTCGTGGCCGTCTGGATAGTGTCGAGCTTTCAGCATTGAATTCGCCGGATACCTGAGGGCTCAGGAAGGTCTGTGAGTTTTGCCTCTCCCCGATGTCCAAGTCAGCCGGCGTACTACCGGCCAGCTCTACAGGCACCGAATTGACACTACCGGCTAAAGGTTGTTAGTTGGACTGAAGTTTTGTCTATCGTGGATGATACTCACTTTCGACGTCGTCTTTTCCAGCTTCAGACGCCAGTGTAACACTTGATGCGGAGACATTCGCTTGATTCGTCCGGTATTTCTGCCTCGAATAAGGTCCACGTAGCGCGTCTTTCTCATCATGAGGTACCCAAGGTCGTACCGGAGCCTCGAAAATGGGTGTTTCCGCGATAGCACCAGGCTTTCCACAGAGTTCTGCTGTTTGCATGACGTAGATAGCACCGGTCAACTGAGCGTGGCACTGATCTAACAGCTGCTTCTTCTTCAGAAGTTTTTTCTGGTTTCTTAGACCCCACTCAAGCTTGAGCTTCGATGCAGCTGTGCCGCCATCTCCATCATGGCCCCAGGCTTTGTCCATATCCATGCCGATTTCGTTAAGAGCACGCCGCACCTCGAGCAAAGAAGTCTCGATCCATCTCCGCTTATTTGGGTAAGCATCCAGGAAATTCGAAACCGCAGATGAGATGAAAAGGCGCGTCGCCTCATCGATGTCTTGTCGCACTTGTTGGATGATGCTCACGAAAGCGATGGTATCCGCAGAAGCCTTCTCGGTGGTGAGGACATAGTCCGCAAAGTAGTAGGTAGTCGGTATCGCTGGAAAGTCGCATAAGTTGTCATCGGGCGTTTCCCTTGGAATAGCGGTTGACGGCCGCCGGTCCTCAGAGTTCCTAGGCTCCTGCTTCGGCCGCCCGATCTTGCGTTGGAAGTACTTCAGCCTCGTTCCTTCGGTCTCCGTAGGCGCTTGCGTGGGGAGGTCAGCCCGATGCAGTGTTTCCGGTAAGAACAAGCCGGCAGTGGGCAACATCGAAGTCAACGTTGGCATGAGCGTCGTTCGTATTACTTCAAGCTGATTGTACTATTGCTGTACAGAGTCTGGATGTAGCTGGTAGCGCGCATGGGCTAAACAATGGTAGCAGGCGACATGCGCCAGGTACACCAGGACAAACCCCGCAGAAAATGACGCAGTGCTTGCTCGAAATAGGCACCGCCGGTGCAGATGTGCTGGTGTTCCAGTTTCGTGTGTCGGCCTGTCCGATGGAAGTATTTGCTAACAGCTACACATGAGGTAGCTATCAGTCGATCACGGCACCGATGTAGCGGTAAAGTGTTGGTTGGGGGCGCAGAACAACAACTCAACCGCGGGCACCGTACCGCAGAGTCATAGCGTTGTCGTCTCACGCCGCACAGCATAATCATGCCAATGTGCATGGGACGTCTCGCCGGATTTGGCATAAATTACTTATAAGGCACTGGTCTTCGATCCAAACCTCGCTATTGGGTTACGCCGCAAGGATGCTGATTGCATGGACTACGCCTCAATGGGGGCCAAAACACATTCCATATTGGCCCCCATGCGCAAGATGCGGGTTCGGAAGAGGAAAGCGAGATCAGGCTAGGAGTTGGTCTAGCCGATTGGCCGTTGCGCGTAAGCCTTCGCATCTCGAACATGATGGATGACTCTCTTCATCGCAAGTGCAAGCGTCGTAGCGTATCGCCTTCCCCTGTTCGGCGAGGATATGAAGATATAAGCACCATTTTAAGCTTAAATTCATTCGATAGCAATGTGGTCATCACTGTGACGGCGGGAGACCTAGAGGCCTCCGCAACATGGAACTTCTTGAAGGTGGCACAGGTTCTACCTGTGAGCACAGTCGTACGCGAGGGTCTCCTTGCATGAGCCACCGACTCATGCATCCAACCGTCTCACCACAGCCTCGCTGAAAGGCCGCGGCGGACTGACTGGATTACCAGCCTCGTCCGCTACTTGCACAAGAGCGGGGAAAATGCACAAGTCCCCTGACGTGACACCTTGTTCCTCCTGCCACTCGAATTCCCATGCGCTAGGCTGGGAAAACAGCGTGAAAGCGAAAAGCGCAGCCCGCTTCAGTACTTCCTCAAGATTCCGCTTACGCTCTCCATTGTTCATGCGAGAGTCCGCGTATGGTTGCAGAACGTTGTCTAATGTTGCAAGCGTTGCCTGTATGCTTGCATGTCGACTGTCGGAAGGACCGAAGGGATTGCGAATGTAGCTAGCCTGCATCAACTCCGCAGTCATGACCCGCCAGCGCGCCATCAATGATGTTTGAGCTGTACGAAAGTCAGTACTTCTATACTAAGAGACGAAGGAACTCGTGCCGCATACCTTGAAAGCCACGATCTCCAGTTGCGACGGCTTGGTAACATTGCGCGACTTCGGACGGCAACAGGCTCTTTGAGGGATCTTTGGAGGGTTGAAGTTTCGATACGATCACCCAGGCGATGATGAACCTTAGCGCAATCTCTCGAGTTGCAGCATTTCCAATCAATGTAGTGAGCGTTCCTACGGAGACTGGTAGACCTGGTCCTAGTGCCTGTAGGTCCTCATAATCGATGAGACCAGGGTTGACACGGCTGGTGTGGTAGTAACTCTGGACGTGATTCTTGATGGCATTGCTGATTTTCGAAACATCGCCAGAGATGGCTTTGTCTTCCAAAGGCTGAGGAAGTCCACCACCCAAAGCAGCTACAGATGATCGTTTTCCGGCTAACGGTATAGTGTTGGCGGAGAACCCTTTCTCCTGCGAAGCTAACGCATACGTATCTGGTTGAGGATAATGATTCTTTGGCTGTCTTCTTTTGCGCCAGCAGAACCACAGGATGAATCCAGCGAGCAAGGCACCGGTAACAAGGCAGCCAACTGCAATACCAGCGATTGCACCCGTCCCAAGTCCCGAGTCAGCGGTTGCTGGCAGCGAAGCTGTTGTGGGGGTCGGGCCGGTAGTTTTGTTCGATGTCGATGTAGGAACTGACACGCGTGCAGTATTAGACGTGGTTGCCGCATCAGTGGAGGGGTCTGGTGTGGGATCTGGGGTGGGGATGGCTGGTGTAGCAGGAGCTACGAATTGAATCTGATTCGGGTTCAAGTGCGCTGACAGAATAAAACCATCGACGGTGATCGGAGGTGCATTGGGAGCCACCACTTGTCTGTTGTACGAGAAGCCCGATGCAGCGTATGGCATCAATACCGCCACGGTTACTATAGGCTTTCCATCGATAGAGAGGATGCTTTCGTATGTGCCGGTTTGAGGATTCTGAACAGTTGCTGGTGGTTCTGTCACTGGAAGGATGATGAATGGCACCGAGGTCGACATTGTAGCTGTGTTCGTAGGCGGTTCGGAAGTCTTCGCGCTTGTGAGGTTCGTATTTGCAGCTGACATAGTCGTGACTTACATCAGTAGGAAAATGTGAGGGCTGAGATATTCCAGAGAGGTAAGGAGCGTGCAAGGCAGTTGAATGTAGAAGTGGCAGAGCGGCTAGGATGTGAGCGCACGCCCTATAGACAGTTTTAGTAACCTGCCACCGATACGTGCCTAACGCGCCTCCAGATCAAACTCACTAATCCCAATCATCTCTTGTCACTTGATGGGTCATTCCAGTAGCTTCGCACGGCGCGACTACATACTATACTTCCTTGTTATTCATAGCGTAGCAGACTGTACGGTGCAGCGCGCTGATTGTGGCCCCCAAGGCGCACTCGGCATGCATAAAGTGCGTATTCTTAGGTTTAGGATACATGGGGGCCGAAATGGCGCGTGTTGTGATCGGTCGAAAAGATGCTGTGCCGCAAGGCTGAGACATAGGGGCCGCCTCAAGGCACCTGCATCGTCTCTGCATCTTATAGATACGTGATCAGGCGGGAAGGCAACAACAAAGACCGCGTCACCGACAACGAGACAAGATGGAGCGAAACGAGCGACCGCATATGATTGTTGGTGTAGACCTTGGGATGACTTGTAAGTTCCGGCGAGGCTGAGGGATTCCCAATTCGGATTAGTGTGCTGCGTTGGATCACGTGTTTCTGATCACACCAGTCCAAGGCTGACACATTTCTCCAGGTACCGGCGTGGCATATGTGAACCTCTCCATAGGCAGCGAAACTGTTCGCTGGGTGCAGAAGTGGCCTGGACGATTCCAGGCGAATGAGAACAAAGTCCCAACGGTGGTCGTCTACCCAATTGGCTCCAAGGATCCGTCATCATGGGGCTTTCTCTCGGAGACCGCTGCAGAGACCGCGGCCGATGACAAGGAGTACAAGGAGTGGTTCAAGACATGTCTCGACCCAGAGAAGCTCCGCCGAAAGCAGATGGAGGATCCTGAAGGCGCACCTGAGAACCTACAGGAGGTTGAGAAGTGGTATGGCGACTATCTGCGAAAGATGTACGAGTACTTGTCGTTCAAGCTTGGCGGGGAGCTTTCTGGCATCGGCTGGGAAGAGGCTAGAATTGAGTTCATCTTCAGCGTGCCGACCACATGGGCTCCGATGCCAACAGTGGAGAACTTCAAACGGCTGGTGAAAGAGGCGGGCTATGGGACGCATCCGCACCACGAAGTGGCCATAGGTCTTACGGAAGCCGAAGCCGCTGCGGTACACGTATCCACTGAAGCACCAGGCATTTTCCGCGAGAACGATGTCTTGCTAGTCTGTGACGCCGGAGGTGGGACGACCGATCTTAGCGTGCTGAAAGTCACTGGCACTGTCAACCAGGCTATCGATCTTCAGCAGATGGACGTCGTGTTTGGCGAGACCATCGGATCCGCTGCTATCGATTACGAGTTCGAGAGGCTGGTGATGCATCGTTTGACGCTCGCGCACAGTACAAATCCTCTACCGGTCGACCCCGCGGACGCCGGATGGGAGATGATGAAAAGTCGAGACTTCCAAGCAGTGAAGTGTGAGTATGGCGCCCCGGACGACACACCGTTGTTCAGTATAGGAATTCCACGCGTTCCACAAACGTACAGCAACTCTGATCCGGAAGTTCGAATTCGTAACGGCGAGATGACTTTTGAACGGCAAGATCTGCAGCGCCTCTTCGATAAGCAAATCGCGAAGTTGTTCAAGCTCATCGACACGCAGCTGCAATCGCTCTTTCAAAAGTTTCCGAGAGAGCATGTAGCACATCTTGTGCTCAGTGGTGGATTAGGCAATAGCGCATATGTGCAATCGCAGCTGCGAAAGTACTATGCGCGCACCTCTTTCCCGAACGCCGAGTCCATCTCCGTGAGCATAGCGCCTGACCCTCAACTCGCTGTGTGCAAGGGTCTCGTCAGCGATCGTATGCGAAAGATCCTGACATCGCGATCGGTCCTCGGCTGGCGTTGTTGCCGAGCGTCGTATGGCACTGTGTGCAAGATCGCGTATGACAAGAAGAACCCTGAGCATCAAGGGAAAGAGCTTGTTCGAGATCCACTCAATAACAAGCTGTACATCACGCAGTCGATAGCGTGGTTCGTCAAGAAGGGCGCGCCAGTAAGCGTGGACAAACCAATCGAGCACAACTTCATCAAGAAGGTCGACCCGGGCGATCCAAGAAGGGCATTTCCGACGACTGTCATCGAGAGTGATTTGGATGCGGCGATATTGCCAGACCAAATGAACCAATGTATGTGTACCGAAGCTCGGCCGCCTCATTCGTCCAGCTTTCTGACAGCTCACAGACACGCGCATCCTCTGCGAGATAAATTCAGACCTCTCGGCAGCGGATGAGAAGAAGTTCCAAGAGAAGAACAAGCACTTCTGGTCGTTGCAGAAGCACTATCTGCGCATCGAGTACTCGGTACGCGTGTTGATCGGACCCGCAGATATCCGCTTCGAGCTGTGGTTTGACGACCAGAAGCTTAGTCGCGATGAGTCGATCAGAGTAGAGTGGATGCCTGCGCAGATGCCGCAAACGTCTCAAATCGCCGAGATGTCTGGAGCGGAGAGAGAGGCTGTTGAGATGTCCAACACGCCGCCCACGCCCATAGGCGCTGCGCCCCCAAGTGGCGCATTCAAGACTGATC